TTATACCTGCACCATCTTCAGGCCAACCAGCTTGAATCCCCGCTGCTCAAACCGGTGAATTATTTGCCCGACGAGACGGCGTTGAACTCCATCTGGTTTCACGGCTATGAGAGTCCTCTCCCTCACATCTGGAAGACCTGATGTGAGCAGACACAAAAGAGGAGCAATGGTTGTTAACCATACTGCAGGGAAGACTATAAAAAATACCAAACTAAAGTCTGCAGGTGTCTCAGTTTATAAATGTGTGGTATTTATCATATCAACATTTATCATATCAACACACACGCACGCACAGACGTGCATTTGTGTGTGTGTGGGACACAACGTCCCCACAACACAATAAACTAACGCGCGCATGCGAGTTTGCACCCCTAAAACAGACCAACAACCCTCACTGAACAAAACTGCATATGAGAGGTATGGCTTTTGTTTAGCTACAGAACACACAGAATAGAAGCTGCACACAGCCCCTTATGAATGACTGCACGCTATCAATTATTCACACGTGACTATCCACGAGAACTGCAGTCTCCTTGCATCTTTAAGACCGGCTGTGACAGTGAAATACAGCGACACCATAGCGGGCTGGATGAAGTCTGGTTCTGGCACAGAGGTTTGGGTGTGTTGTATGGGACTTGCGTTTTGTGTGTCGGTATTGCGCACCGTTTAACTTTTGTACCCCTAACCTAGTTCCAGTTCATGACCCGAGCTTTTGGCAAGCAAGTTTGTTTTCCCAAATGTGTCCGTTAAGTTTGGGTCAAATAAACTTTGCCTTGGACTCTGCGCCTTGGACCGAGTCTAACAGACTAAAGTTTGTTAGACTCGGTGCTAACAGAAATCTTTTAAAATCGGTTTCGACAGTGACAGTTTGAGTGTCATTTTCACTGTGTAAAAATCGCGTATTCAAGATACTGTGCACATTTTTAATTCGCAATTCATGAACATTCACTTAAAAACATAAAATTTGCATCCAACTGCTTTAAATCGCCACTTCTTAACAAACGAATCGCGTAAGTTCTATCTGAAGGACTAATACTTATCTACTATGCAAAACATATGGCTTTACTTAGCAGCTGGTACAAAATGAGTCACTTACTTGATTTGTTTCTTCGCCAGGTAGATCTGTATCCACCCCACAGCTGAGAAGGAAAACCAGGTAACAGACCTTTTGTGGATTCTTGAGTCCTCCAATAAAAGTGTTGGAGAAGTCTGTTAAAAACGCGCAGCTGCAGCATGGCCGTAATGTGACGTGCGTTTTATCAGCCTCTACTGAGTGAAGTCAACCCTCATCAATAAAAACTCACGAGTGATCCCTCTGTGCGTCTCTCCTCATTGTCACTCAATCTGAAATTTAACTCCAGTGATGCCAGACCTGTGTTAGTTCTCCGTACACGCGTGCGTCACTCAAAATCTCCCTTCGCTTTCAACCCGATGGATTTCAAAAGAAACACTTCCACGCATAAATCTTATTTAGTTGATATTTTCGCCTTTCTGCAGGTGAAATCCAGCTCAGTTTAAGAGCTGAACACTGATCTTGCTCTTCACTTTGCCCTTTTTTTGTTGAAAATGTGTATTTCTAAATAATAACAAAACACTTAGGAGACGCAAAGCAGAAGCAAAGATATGTTAAAATGGCCATTTTATGACCATTCAGCCTCCGAAACGCATCTTTTTGTTGTTTTAAAGTAACATCTGTACTTGCCAGATGTCCGTTAGTCATTCAGCCTCCACAACTCACATTTGCAAATCTGTGATTTTCTTTAGATCTGGCACTTACCGCAATTTACAATTGCAACTGTTAGGTGGTATTTCAACAAAAATATTTAAATGACCTGTGGATGTAACTAGAACTTCACTGAAATTAAGGATTTGATCAGCATCAAATACAAGCTTAACAAATTGGATATACAGGACTGTATATGAAAAAGTATTTGTCGCCTTCCTGGTTTCTTAGTTTTCTGAGTATTTGTCACTCTTTCATATTTCAGTTTATCAAACAAATTTTAATATTCGACAAAGATAGTTCAATCAATTACAGCAAGTCGTCAAGGTCTGAAGCAGCAAAGCAGACTCAGACGGTCACACTACCACCACCATGTTTGACTGTTGGTATGATGTTCTTTTTATGAAATGCTGTTCTAGTTTTTTGCAGATGTAACAGGACTGAAACCTTCTAAAAAGTTCAGGTTTTTATTTTTGAGTCCACAGAATATTTTCCCAGAAGTCTTGGGGATCATTAACATGGTTTTTGGTAAATGTGAAATGAGCCTTAGAGTTCTTTTTGGTATTCTTCTTTGAACTCCTGTGGAGGCTTTTTTGCCTGGACTCTTTCTTATTGTTGAATCATGAACTAGATGTTGTTCTGGGTTATATGTGAACACCTGGACGAGTCGTCAGTGCACTCACCATTCACCACTGTTTCAAATTTTCTCCATTTGTGGATAATGGTGTCATGTGCTGCTTTTTCTTTGTTTTTTTGCGTATCTTACTTTGTCAGACAGGTTCTGGTTAAGTGATTTCTTGATCCAACAGGTCTGGCAGTAATCTGTCCTGGGTGTGGTGAGTGAAACTGAACTCAGCTTTCAAAAGAAAAAAAAAGAAAAAAAAAAGAAGGAAAAATGTGGTTAATCACAATTAACTCATGATTCATGAAGGTAGGTTTGGATAACTTTTTTCCATTAATAAGTTAACTCATGATTTAAAAACCGAAATCGGGAAGGGGAAACATACTTTTTTCCTGTCACAGCATATCTCAGTGGCAACAGGTCTTATGGAGTGATGAACTCACTTTTGAAAACTTTGGTTCAAGTCATTTTCAGTAATATAGAGGTGGTCAGGATAAATGTACAACAGTGAATGTCTAGTCATTTGTAACATGGTGAAAGGGTTGAGGAAATTATGAATGCAGAAAAGTAGTCAGATTATCATCCAGCATGAAATACCACCAGGCAACAGCTTCATTAGTCAGCATGACAATGATCACAAAGGAGTGTAGCAAAATCATACCTGGATAGAAAAACACAAAATGGAGCACTTAGATGAGACATGGATCGGCCTCCCCAGAGCCCAGACTGCAACATTACTGAAGCAGCGTGGCATCATGTTGAAAAAGGACAGGAAAAATGCAGCCAACATCCAGAGAAGAGCTTTGAACGTGCTTCAAGAAGCCTGAAGAGAACTATTCCTGAAGACTAATTAGGTACATTACAAGACAGCGTGACTAAGAGAGTTCATGGTAAATGAACTGGTTCTTATATAGCGCTTTTCTACTCTGAGGACTTAAAGCACTTTATACAACAAATTCATTCACCCAATTACTTTTTTTCTAAAGTGTTAAGTGCTCCGTATCTAACATCCAGACACTTTCACACTCCGATAAATGCATCGGAGAGCAACATGGGGTTAGTATCCTGACTGGAGCAGAACCACCAACCTTCCAGTAGCTGACCTGCTCTGCCACCTGACATACAGCCACGCCAATACAGACAGTGCAGACGTATAAAGTTGGTCATATTGACTTCAGTTTTGTTAAAATTCCCTTATATGTGGATTTATATTTGCAGATTTTTCAATAAACTGCTGCTCCCTTTAAATTTTCCTAAGCATCATCTTTTTTGCAGTCTAGACTTGACTGCACGGTACTAATCAGCATCAAGGTGACATTTTGTAACCAAAATCCTCTCTTATCAAACTGAGTGCAGTTGACAGAGTCCACTAAGCAGTCACATTTAATGTAAGCTTAGGATACACAAAACCAGACAACATTAGAGCCATGTCTTTGCTGCTTGAGTTTGTGACATCTTTTCATAATTTATGAAAATGCACCATTGTTCTTTTCCACCTTGTACATGTGAGTCTGCACATATTTGTCATGTGATTGATTTTATGTGATGTCATGTTTCAAGGTTTCTGTTGGTTTTTTCTTGTTCTGCCTGATCCAGTGAATCAGAAAAGGAACATTTTTTGCATATTACTGTGATGGCATGCCACACATGGTAAGCTCCACACCTCACTACCTGTTGATTCACTTTAGTTTAATTTACAGTCACTACTTTAAAATATTCTATTTATTGTTCAATATTGTTTCTTTATTAAATGTATTTATTTTTCCATCACACCTTCCAATGTTTATATGGCGTGCACACATATTAACCTTGCAAGGTCAAAGTTCTGTTTTATGTTATATTAATACATCTTTCTTTGTTTGAGTTACCTGGGGGTTGGCTTCTCCTGTCTGGCAAAAGGTGTGGCAAAGGGCTGCCAGACCTGAAGTACCACTGACAGCCTCATTGGATTGCACCACATGCTTCATTGCCTGGGGGGTGTTTCATGTTTGTTTCATTGTTTTGTATTAGTTGGTTATATGGCAGCCATCTTGTTTTCCCCCGTGTGTGTCATTTGGTTTAGCTAAACCGGTATTTAAGTTCCCCTGTGTGTCATTTCAGCAGGTCAGTTTATCATGTGTTTGTTTGAGGTTTTGTTAATTATTATCTTGAGTTTAGTCTATTGAGTTGACCTCTTTTATTGGTCTGCCTGTTTAAGTTTTGGCTTTGTTAAATATGTTTTCATATTTTTGGGTCAATAAAACCCCTTTTTTGAATTAAAACCACCTGTGTCCTTTATGCTTTACTGCTTGGTCCCTGACAATTACAAATAAACAAAACAAAAAATAAATAAAAAGTCTAAAACATTTTCTACAGTAGATGACTGTAGTGAAATAAAGGAAAACATAATCTCTAATAAAAAAAATTCTCATTATGAATACTATAAGATGACCAGCAGAGGGCACAGAGACCAGCCAAAGGTTTTATTAAAAAAGCACTTTATTATTCAAGCAGGTTTTCTCTTTTCAGAATGGAATGATATGAAAGATCTTAAGTTGAGAGTCTCTCTCCTTTGGAGATTAAAAAGGCAAAACGAATAAAAGCAGACATTAAAGAAAACTAAAACAAAACTCAAAATGAGTTGAAAGTGCTCTGTCCCAGCCCAGCTTTGTTGCAGAGGCGTGGGAAAGAAGGCCTGGCTCAGACTGCTCCAGGTCTGGGCAAAAGCCAAATGCAGACCAGGTTTACATTTCTCACCAAACTCATTGGCAATTCACAAGGAGGGCACTGCCTTAAAAATAATAATGTGCCAACCTTCTACAGTAGAAATCAAATAAAAACATCAGCAGCATCCTCAACCTCCAATTACCTAACCAAACAATGTGTGTTGCTCCATCCTGTTACTTTGAAAAGGTGGAGCACAGCTGAATTGGAGGAGTGTCGGGGAAAGTGGTCAGCACAGGCAGTCCTGACGGTATGTGGAGTGGTTCAAACAGTCATCGTGCTATAGCTTGATGGTGCCAGTGGGCAGGCTGCTGTTGCACAGTCTGTAGTAGCGAAGATCGTTCACCAGCCGCTGAACGCTTTGAGTGAACGAAGGCAGGTCCTTAGGAAAGAGGAGAAGGAACAGACACTAATATTAATTTATGAAAGAAATGCACAAAAACACATGCCCAGTAAGTAGATACAGCCATGACTGATAGAATAGTGAAGCTATAATAATATAGGTTTTCCCCAAAACCTCAACAACTCCCACCCCCTAAACCACCTCGTTTCACACGAGGTGCTGAAATACAGTATTCCCTTGATTTACACAGTAAGTGAAATTCTGCTAAATTTGAGTGACATAAATTTACAGACTGTGATGTAGTGAGTCCACGAAAGGTGAACCATAATGTGGTGCGGGAATACTGTAGACCAGAATTAATATTCCATTTCAAGCATGAAATAGCAGCAGCAGGCTGAGAGTGTGCATCATCACAGAGACCACCACAACAAGCTATTTCTTATGCACACCGTTAAAGATTATTAGCTTTTAATTAATGTGTGGAAACTGGTGCCATCAAGTGGCTACGTCTTGTTGCAAATCTTTAAATAGACCAATCAGCAGACATTAGGTAAATGCACGCACAGACCGAACTGGCTTCCCTACCTTCAGCTAATTTTTGTAGAAATGGATGAACAGGAAGTTGGCTGGCTCCACTATGGTGGCTCTCATTATACCCAGTATGTCTACATTAATATACAGCAGCACGAAGGGTGTTTATTTACTTTGTTAGACTTAGAGGTTGGCGGATGTTCACTATGACTGATGTGAGGGCTACAAACTCATGTAAGTTCGAAGAAAAATAAGGGAGTAGTTTTGCCTGCACAACCAGAAACTCTGAAAAATGTCATTTATGCACATCCACACATGAAAAACAACCCAAAAAACAAAACAAAAAACAAAAACAGTCCAGAGGAGTGGTCTTATCAGA